ACTTCCTTGGATTGGAGTTTTTCTTCCAGTACTTTCTGTAGGGCTAGATTTGTGGATATGTATTGTTTAAATCTGGTTTTGTTATGGAATATTTTGTTTTCTCCATCTATGGTGACTGATAGCATTGCTGGGTATAGTAGTCCTGGCTGGTATACATGGTCTCTTAGTGCCTTCTGGCTTTTAGAGTTTCCATTTAGATGTCAGGTGCAATTTTGATAGGTCTGCCTTTATATGTTACTTGGCCTTTTTTCTTTGCAGCTCTTACTATTCTTTATTTATTCTGTATGTTTAGTGTTTTTATTATTATGTGGCAAGGGAAGTTTCTTGTTTTGTCCAGTCTATTTGGTGTTCTGTAAGCTTCTTGTATTATCATTGGCATGCCTTTCTTTAGGTTAGGAAAGTTTTCTTCTATGCTTTTGTTGACTATGTTTCCTGAGCTTTTGAAGAGATCTTCTTAACCTTCTTCTATAGTTATTGTTCTTTGGTTTGGTCTTTTCATGGTGCCCCAGAATTCCTGAATGTGTTCTGTTAAGATTTTGTTGGATTTGACATTGTCTTTGGTTGATGAATCTGTTCCCTCTGTTGTGTCTTCCACACCTGAGATCTCTCTCCCATGTCTTGTGTTCTGTAGTTGTGCTTACGTCTGTAGTTCCTGATCATTTACCTACATCTTCCATTTCCAGAGTTCCCTCGCTTTGTGTTTTCCTTATTGCTTCTATTTCAGCTTTCAAATCTTCAATTGTGTGAATTGTTTCCTTCACCTGTTTTATCGTTTGTTCATGGGTTTTCTTGCTTTCTTTAAGGGATTTGTTGATTTCTTCCAATATTTTTGTTTGTCTTTTCCTCATTTCTTTAAGGGCATTTTTGTTTTCTCTTTAATGACCTTTATCATCTTCATAAAGTTATTTTTAAGATTGGTTTTCTGCTTTGTCTACGTTGAGATGTTCAGGTCTTGCTGGTGTAGAACTCCTAGTTTCTGGTGGTGCCCTATTGCTCCCTACATTGTTGAATGTAGTCTTTCACTATTGTCTACCTGTCTCTTCCTCCAGTGAGTGCAGGCACCTGTGCTTCAGGGGTTCTCTCTTCCTCCGATGGGTGTAGGTGACTTAGGTGGTCACTCTTTCTACAGGTGTAGGGGTCTGTACCTCTGCTGGATGCTGATACAGCTCTGGGGCTCTCTGGTGTAGGCGGTGCCTCTGGGGCTTTGCTCTCCAGGTGGGAGCAGGGCAGCGTCTATGATGGTTGCAGGTGCTCCTGGGAATGGCCTGGGTTGTGGGGAGACTGCTCCCAGGTCTCTGGGGCTTCGGTGGGTGGGGGTGGGGTGAAGGATGTACCCTGGGAGCTTAGGGCCTAGAGGGCAGCCATTATTCTTTTTTTTAAATCATGTTTAACTGTGAATATTTTCAGAATACTCAAAACCCAATTGCAATGCACTATTATATACTACCAGTTCATGTTCTATAATGTATAGATTTTTAAAAAGGTTTTTCTAAATTGAGTCACTACTATACTTTCAGTTAACCTCACTTCCTCTTCTTCTATGTATGAACATGTGAAGTTTCCCCTATTAAAGTCTTGCATTTTGTGTGGTTCATTTGTTAAAATTAGGAGTCTATTCACAGACTGTTATAAGCTCAAGTCTGTAGGTTTCTTCATGTTCCCTCCATGTTTTGGAGTGTCCTATGTTTGCCAGACTTCACCAAATGGGTTCACGCCAGTTTTGCATTTCCCAGAATGCCACTGAGTTAGGACCATGTGGTCTGTTGGCTTTTACCATTGGTCTTTTACTTAGCCATGTTCCTGTTGTGATGTGGTAGTTCTTTCAGTGTTAAGCAACATTTTACTTATGTATGTAAGCCTGTTAGTCTGTCCAGTTTGCCTTCTTTGACAGCATCATGGATACATACATGTTTTGCATGTTAGGAATAAAGTTGCTACAAAGTTTACCTCCAAGTCTTCTATGGCTTTTCTTTGCCTGTTGGTCTGAGAGAGTTCATCCATTGAGCTTTAATGATTTGAAATTTTAAAATATTTTCATTTGATGTGTATGAGTATCTGCCAGTGTGTGTATAATGTGGAGGCTGGTGCCAATGGAGGCTTTAAGAGGGCATCGGATCCCCCACAACTGGGGTTTTACAGATGCTTGTGATCTGCTGTGTGTGTTCACTGTCGAAGATATTATTATGCACTTATCCTAAACAAAAAATCCACAGTGGACTTAAAACTAAAACCAATTAGCTTTATAACCTTCTCTGACTTCTTTCAGTAATTCCAGAAACTTTCTGGATTGGTCCAACTGTTAATGCCAGATTAACTTTAATAACAGCAACAAAGAAATTATCTTCAGGTGCTCATTAAATGAGTGTGGTGGCCAGAGAATATCATTGTTCCTTTTATAGCACATGAGTAGGGATAGCTTTGATCTTTATATCCAATAAATTATTGAGTGTAACAGTTAATATGTGTTCACACATATAAAATCTTAGATGCCAAAGAAAATCCAAATATTAAAAAGCTGAAAATCGGATGACATGACAGACTCTGGAGATCCATCATGAAGGGCCTCACCCTCCCTGGGGATCAGAGTGGAGATTGGGTGGGGGCCTGGGGGGCCTGGTGGGGAGGGCGGGGGAGGAGGGGAGGGAGAGGGAGCTGGGATTGACATGTGAAACAAGCTTGTTTCTAACTTAAATAAAAAAAAAAAAAGCTGGTAGTGATTTGGGCCTGTAATCCCAGTTGTTTAAGAGGCTAAGCAGGAGGATTGCAGAGTCAAGGTGTGCCTAGTCTACAAAGTGAGTTCAAGGCCAGCCCGGGCCACTTAATGAGACATGGTTCCTGAATCAAAAAAGAGAAAGGAAGTTGAGGATAAGGCTTGATGGTAAAGCAGTTGTCTACCGTGTGGGAAGCCCTAGATTTGATACCCAGTGCATTACTTACTTTTCTGTTGCTGTGGTAAAACACAACGACTAAGACAACTATATAGAAGGAAGAGTTTCCTTGGTGTATGGTTCCAGAAAGAGAATAACCCATCGTGGCGTGAAGGTGTAAGAGCAAGAGGCAGGCAAGTCGGCAGGAACAGGAGTTTCACAGCCCACGTCTCAACCATGAGCACCAAGAAGAGAGTGAATAGGAAGTGGGCAAGACTAATAACACTCAACCCCCCCCAGTGACGTACTTCCTCCAGCAAGGCTCTGACTTTTAAAGATTCTACAGTATCCCCAAATGGAGCCCCCACCTGGGGACCAACTGTTCAAATGTCCCAGTCTATGGGGGTCATCCCTCATTAAAGTCACCATATCCAGTACAACAGAAAGGGGTACAGAACAGAACCTGCACCTCGGCGGCTGCAACTTGAAACGACCCTCTGAGCGGGTTGTGCTGCAGAGGTGAGTGTGCCTGGTTTTAAAGCCTTTGGTACAATCTGCAGGACGGGGAGGGAGTGCATAATATCCTCTGGTCAAGAACAGCTTTGTAGATGAGGTTTAATGACAGCTGGAACGCCAGTGCTTTCCCACGGATTTTAAGACACCAAGTATGCTTGTGGAAGTTTGAATTCCCGTCCCCTCAAGGACCTTCAGAAGACATGTGTCTTCCATTAGACCAGTACACATGCTGGCAGAAGCTAGTGCTAACAATTGCAAAGCCTTCCTTTCTCCAAAGGACTTAGTCAATAATAGTCTTAAAAATTCCATGGAAGACTTTGTTATTATGCCTATGCATATGGTGTGTGTATATGTAGGTATGCATGCCATGGCACTTTTGGGGGCCAGGGGACACCTTTGTGGGGTCTCTCTCTCCCTTCACCTTTACATGGCATCTGCATGTTGAACACAGGCTGCCAGGCTTGAGTGGCAAGAGCTTTTTTCCCCCTGCCCATCCATTTTGCCCACCCCATAAATAATAATGAACTGCCCCCTGTGTTACTTTGTGTGGACTTTAATTATATTTTCTCATCTTTAAGCTGATTTTTAAGGTTAGAATGCAAAGAAATGGTTTCATCGTGGCATCTTCACGTTCATGTCATTATACATTGTTCTTATTCAATCACATTCCCCAGTTTTTATTTTTCCATTTTTCAACGGAAAACTTGCTTGTAAGCAGCTCTAAAGTTAAGCAGCAATGTGTGGTGCCTCTTAGAAGAACCCAGATCGATGCCTGCTATTTTGTGTTCCTTCAAAGTCAGGACTGAGCCTTGTTTCTGAGATCTTTGGGCAGGTCTTCCCTGTTTAGAGTTTGTATAGTTATTCTATAAGTTTGTGCCACTGGATTTTGTGGTCTGCTTTGTGGAGGCTTGGGCAGGCTGAGAGCTCTGGGGAGCCTTGGAGGTTTGGGGAAGCTGAGAGCTTTGTGGAGCCTTGGAGGTTTGGGGAAGCTGAGAGCTTTGTGGAGCCTTGGGGAAGCTGAGAGCTTTGTGGAGCCTTGGGGAAGCTGAGAGCTTTGTGGAGCCTTGGAGCTGTGGGGAGGCTGAGAGCTTTGGGGAGCCTTGGAGGTTTGGGGAGGCTGAGAGCTTTGTGGAGCCTTGGAGATTTGGGGAGGCTGAGAGCTTTGGGGAGCCTTGGAGCTGTGGGGAGGCTGAGAGCTTTGAGGAGCCTTGGAGGTTTGGGAAGGCTGAGAGCTTTGGGGAGCACTGGAGCTGTGGGGAGGGAGGCTGAGAGCTTTGTGGAGCCTTGGAGGTTTGGGGAAGCTGAGAGCTTTGTGGAGCCTTGGAGCTGTGGGCAGGCTGAGAGCTTATGTGAGGGTTACTTAGACTTTGGAAGGCACTGAGTGCCTGCTGTTGACTCCCTCACCTGAAAGCTGCTAAAGGAAGATTGTTGGCGTGGCCTCCTGCCCAGACCAGTCAGAAGGCAGGGGATGCCTGGCCCTGAGTCGGGAGGAGCACACCAAGCCGGACTCCTCAGAAGCAGCTTTCCCAGAGGGATCTTCTCTCTTCACCTTAGAGAGACAGCTCCTTGGCGCCTTTTCCTGCATTGTCTCCATCTCCTTGTCACACATGTCACTTCTTACTGTCTAACACGATTCATGCTTTATTTAACTTTCTTGTCCCTCCCTCCCTTTTGAGACACGGTTCCCATGACATAGTCCAGGCTGGCTTTGAACCTGTGATTCCGCTGGTTCATGCTCCTTTGTGCTGGGCTTACGGGCTTGCCTTCTTCACCAGGTTTGCTTGTCTTGACCTCTTTTGTTTCTGCATGACACCCAGTACCTAGGGTTTGAGACAGGTAGACAGAGTTCTTGTGCCATTGTGCCTGCAAACTCAAACCCACAAATACATTGCCATTGTCCTGGGTAATTTTATGTCAACTTGATACAAGCTAAAGTCATCAGAGAAGAGGGAACCTCATTTGGGAAAATGCCTCCATAAAGTCAGGCTGCAGGCCATTTTCTTAACTAGTGGTTGACGTGGGAGGGCCCAGACCACTGTGGGCAATGCCATCGCTGGGCTGGTGCTCCTGGGTTCTATATGAAGCTGTCTGAGGAAGCCATGAAGAGCAAGGCACTAAGCAGCACCCCTCCATGGCCTCTGCATCAGCTCCTGCCTCCCGGTTCCCGCCCTGCTTGAGTTCCTGCTCTCATTGCTTCTGAACTGGGAGCGGAAAAAAACCCTCTCCTTGTAGATGGAAGTTTCTGTCCCACCTGGTGCCACGGCCATTCAGTCCTTAGCAAACACGCAAGGCTTATATTAATTATAAGCTGTTTGACTGATGTATAGGTAAGAAACGAAAGGCTTGTGGGGTGTAGTTTTTAGCACTCACTTGGGTATGGAGTTGCTGAGTGGAATAGCAAAGACATGGGGATAACCCCTAAGTTTCTGAGAGTTGAAGCTTTCATGGTGTGCGAGCATACACACATATTCACACACACGCACACACAATTGAAATGGTTTTCTCACTGGCTTATACTCGCTGTACATTGCACTGAAGTACATAATAACATTTCATATATGGATATGCTGTACTTTGAACACATGCCTCCCCTTGAAAATGTACCAGGCAGTGGTGGCATGCTGAACAGTGCCAGCATGCCCAGTGGTGGTGGCACACCTTTAATCCCAGCACCTGGGGGCCATAGGCAGGGAGATCTCTGTGACTTTGAGGACAACCTGGTCTACAGAGTGAGTTCCAGGACAGTCGAAGCCTTTACACAGGGAAACTCTGTCATGAAACAAAAAGAATGAAAATGTACTCGTGCAAGTTAGTTATGGGCAGTGCCTCCTACAGACCATCCCACAGTAAAGCATCTTCCTGCAAAACCAAAGGTCCTAGGGTTGCTCTTTCCAGGAGCTTGGTCCTTGGACCACAGGTTTTAGTGTCATCTGTAACGATTATCCAACTCTGATCTTTAACCTCTACCGTAACTGGGAAGAGATGCAAGCTGCATCTCCTGGTTTTAAGGGAGCAGCCCTGCATCCATTTGAAAGTTTATGTGAGTATAATCTCTCAATGTCTCTCAGTTTCAAACGCTATGGGCTTCTGAGTTCACAGCTTTAACCTACAAGTCAGATGCTCATGCATACCGGCGGGTTTGAGCAGTCTTATCTGAGGGAATATGTGAGAACAGAAATGACTAGACATTGGAATAAGATTATCTAAATATTCTTAGCAAATCTTCACTAAAGCCAGTGATTTGAGAGGGCATGGTGGGTGGGTGGTGGCAGGGGTCTCAGGTTATCTCAAGATCCCAACATTATCCCCCAACTGAGATCCAGTTGTAAAGTTGCAGCAGCAAACCTTACAACACAAGGGACTGTATTAAAGGGTCGTGGCATGAGGAAAGTTGAGATCCACTGTGCTAAAGGCACATTTCACTATAATGGTTCCTAATGACTCTTTGCTGTACTGGTAGAGCAGTGTCTTCCTCAGCTGGCATCAGAGAGGCTTCCTCCTGAAGTAGGCAGGAAATGTACAGAGACCGAGAGATCTTGGACCACTCAGCCCTAAAAGGGATGTCTCAAGGCTCAGGGAGCTATGGGGAAGACGAGGTGGAAATATTGTAAAAGTCAGTGGGCATGGAAGACACCAAGACCTGAGGCACTTATGAACTCACATATACTGTGGCAGCATGCCCAGGGCTTGCACAGGTCCAAGTGAGATGACCCCCAGCACTGAGAAGGGAATTGGACACTCTCCCGGTCCTTACCCCAGATCATTAGGGTTGGGGATTAATGTCTAACTGCTCACGGAGGTAAAATCAGTTTCTCTAATGGATCCTCCCTGGGTGTCGCTGGGTCCGGAGGGCTCCCTTGGGGGAGGCTGTGGAAAGGTGGAAAGAAACAGATCTCAGAAGCCCGGTAAAGGAAACAGCAGACTCCCTTGACTTTCGCCTTCTCATGCCCTCTCCTGAGGGAGCTGTTCCCACCCAGCAACATCTGAAGCCCTGGACAGAGACATCTAGCACAGGTTGGGAGCTCTCCTGGTCAGAGTCTGTTCCCTTTTTTCACTGCAGCTACAGCTTTTGGGTTTTGCCCAGAACAGGTTTTAGTGTCTCCCTCTCCTCACTCCAGGCGCTGGACACCAGCCCCCAAGGCGGTGTACTTTGGCGAGAAGGCCACTTTATGTTGTGTGCTCTTTCTTGATCCCTTCATCAAGCAAACGTTGGGACCCCATCTCCTTGCTTCTTTTGTGCTGTCTGTCTTGTTTGTCTGTCCGACCCCTTAGGAAGGCACATACTTTTTCTGTTCCACCCAGGCTGACTGTCATCGTCTATGGGACAGTTGATTGGCTTCTCACCCCTCCCCCAGGGAGCCTTTAGGACCCAGCAACCACACTTAGAGGAGGCCCAATGCCAGCAGTAAACGGACAACAGAGAGCCACCACGCAGTGGCGCTTTGGGAGATGTTTTGTCTCATAACGCTTTGCTTAGGCATTTTTTTCTTTTACATTACTTGTCTTTTGCTTATGCATTAGTAATTATGAGTTTGTGTTTTGTGAGTTTTGTGTGTGTACATGTGTGTGTTCTCAATCAAGTGCTACCCCCTCCCCCTCTTTATTTTCTAAAGAGAGAAAGAAGGCATGGAGTTGGATGAGGAGACTGGGAGGAGATGAAGGAGGGGAAACTGTGATCAGAATGTACTGATTGAAAAAAACTTTGTTTTCATTTAAGAAAGAAGGAAGGGAGGAAGGAAGGAAGGAAAGGAGAGAAAGAAAGAAAGAAAGAAAGAAAGAAAGAAAGAAAGAAAGAAAGAAAGAAAGAAGGAAAATCTGCTTCCCAGTGGGGCGGGGTCTAATTAACAATTCTGTTTTTGGCATAAACACCCAGATCTACACATGGCTTGCAGGCTCAAGACTCTGATTTCTGATTATGCTGTGCGGTGGGCTTGGAATCCACGGACTCAGCTCCCTGTGCTGTGGGGCCCTCTACCCTTTTCTGAAAGTCTTGGCTCCAGTGCTCTGAGAATTTTCTCCTTCCTGGGTTAAAATGACTGGCTAGAGTAGCCTTAGGCTAGAGAGGTTTAAGGTGACCCAGTCTGTCATGGTGGGGAAGGCTGCTGTCTGCTACCAGCTTGGCCTGGGGTCGAGAGCCTGTGCTGTGGTTTCCTGACATCTCTGTGGGTCAGGAGGCAGAGAGCTCAGTCTGGAAGCAGGTCCAGTAGCTTGCCCTCCCCTTCCTCCAGCTACACCTCCAACAGTTCCGCAACTATCTCTGTCTGGGACCAAGTGTCCAAACACATGAACCTGTGGGAACATTGCACAGGCAATCTATGACATGTGGCTACAGGCATTTATCTATTTGTTTATTTATTGTGACAGATGGCTTCAGAACAAAATTGATTTGAACTGACTTGGTTTTCTTGTTATGTCACTGTCCTCTAGTCATGAATGACAGGTCACATTACAGAAACTGACATTATATCAGGACACATTGAAGTCTTGTGATTTTTTTCTTTAGTATTAAAACAGGATTTATTTTTATTTGTGTGTGTGTGTGTGTGTGTGTGTGTGTGTGTGTGTGTATGAATGGAGGCCAAAAAAGGGAATAGGATCCTCTGGAGGTGGGGTCCAAGGCAGTTGTGAGCTTTCTGATGTGGTGCTGGGAACCAAACTCAGGTCCTTTGCAAGGGTAGTCTTCCCGGTCCATTCCCTGGTTTTCTGAGCTGAAAATTTCTGTGCGACAGAGAGCCGCCTGAAGATACAGCTATATCTCCTGTGAAGATAGAGTGCGCGTTTGCTGCTTTGAGCTCCTCAGAACCATGATGCTCTTATAATAAATATCACCTGAGGAGGGGCCTAGTGGTAGGGAAGCCGGGTGGTGGGGAGGGCCTTAGTGGGAGGGCAACCTGGTGGAATTCCCTTGTTGCTTTCTTGGAATCATATCACATTGAGAAACCCTGAGGTTCTGTGCACACTAAAAGCTGGTAGAAAATTGTAGGGTTGCTGCCTCTTTCTTAGCCAAGAATGAATGACAAATAAAACCTAGGTTTTAAAGAGAGTCACAGTCCTGGACTGTGTGACCATCTTTCCCCTTTCCAAACACTCTTTTGTAAAGAGAAGCCTTCCCGCCAACCTGGTTCCAGAGCTGCATCAGCCCTAAATAAACACACAGGAGGCTGTATTAATTATGTTGGCCTTGCTTGTTTCTTACTGGCTAGCTCTGACTTAAGTATTTTACCTGCCTAAGTATTTCTCTTACCGGAGAAAGGGGTCCGGACTTCTGACCCCTATGGCAGCTACATCTTGACTTCCTGTGTTTCTCCTACCCAGAGTCCTCCTGAACTCCTAGTCCCACCTATCTTGCTTTCCTATTGGCCAACAGTGCTTTATTGACATATACACAGGACTTCCCCAACACTCTTTTCTTTCAGTTTTAAAAACAATCCTTTTGCTGGGTGTGGTGGTTCACGCCTTTAACCCCAGCACTCAGGAGGCAGGCACATTTTTGAGTTCAAGGCTAGCCTGGTCTGTAAAGCAGGATACATTATCTACATAGAAAAGCCTTGTCTTGGGGAGGGGGTGGGGTCGGGTGTGGGGTGGGGTGGGGAATCCTTATGCAGCACCTGTTATAGAGAATAGGACTATGTTTCCATAAGCCTGAAAGGTACTGTTCAATTTCTTGAAAAACATTTTTATGTTTTACTATCATAAATTAAGCAGATTTTCTTTCTTCCCTCATTGAAAATGGTACATGTGCTTGCCTTACATAAACAAAATCTCCTGCCCCAAATAAATGAATAAACAAACAAATATTTAGCAAAGCACAAAAGAAACCCATTAACCTCTTTCTGCCTCTACCTTTGATCAGCATTCACGCTGTTTAATCTTTGATGATAAGAATCACCAGGGATGTTGAAGCAAGATGAAGGCTAGCTTGAGGGAGGCCTGAGTCCAATCAGTATGCAATGGAAGTAGTTTAAAATGAGTCAGTGGAGGCTGGTGATAAGTCTCAGCAGTTAAGCTTACTCACTGTTCTCAGAGGACTGGAGCTCAGTTCCCAGCCTGTGGCAGGTAGTTTCCAACTGCCTGTAACTCCAGTTCCAGAAGTCTCTCTCTCTCTCTCTCTCTCTCTCTCTCTCTCTCTCTCTCTCTCTCTCTCTCTCTCTCTCTCTCTCTCTCTCTCTCTCTCACACACACACACACACAAATAAAATTCTTTTAAAAAAGAAGACCTGGTGGGGTCCCAGGTCGGGATGGGAAAGGGGCTCCACCTGTTCTCAACCACATATCGAGTAGCTTTGGAAAATCCCAGGGAAAATTCTGCATGGTGCAGTGTATAAAGGCTTGGTCAGCAGTCTGACACTCCTGGGAGGTGCTGAAGCTTTTGGAAGGAGGGGTGCAGAGGAAGGAAGCTGAGTTATTAGGGTCAGGTCCTTGAAGAGGATGTTGGAAGTGGCCCTTGTATGCTTTCTGGATGTCTTAAGGTGAAGAGGTTCTCAACAGGAGCTCCCAGCAGGATGGGCATGTGACCAGAGACTGAATCCAGCTGCAAGGCAGAGATAGGTAGGCAGATAGGTAGATAGATAGACAGACAGATAGACAGACAGACAGACAGACAGGAGATCAGTGGTCAATGGAGATCAATCCTCAGATCCTAGGTAGTCTGGTAAAGCATTTGTACTATTTGTCTGTCCTGACTTACCCATCAATTAGGCCCTTCCTCCTTCATTCTTCTTGTAAACTGTAAAGTAAGAGTCACATCAGAACCTTTGTCATGTTTCCCACATAGTGTGCCCTGCTAGGTGTCAAAGACTTTATTTTTATGCCTAGAGTAGGTTTTGACTGTTTTTGATGGGGAGTGAGACTGGGAGACAGATAGTCAATGTAAACCCCACCACCCACACACCCTCAGTGTTCAGAGTCAGGGTCACTTTTGAGGGTACTGTAGTAGCCCCATAGCTGACAATTGCTGGCCGGGCAGGCTGTAGCCATCCTAATACTTCAGAGGCAATTATTTACATATGTTCCTCCCCCCCACCCCATCATCTTTGGTGCTAACCTTGGGGAGGATGAGGGTAGAGAGAAGCTTTCTTTCACATAGACTGGAACTCAATTATGGGAGGGCTCATATTCGTTGAGATAACCAGAGAAGTTTGTCAAGTTAGGGGCTGCGGCTGCTGCTGGGGGGGGGCTGTTGAGTTTGGAATCTTGCAGCCTCATGGAGTGTGAGAGAGGCGCTGTGAGGTGACAACGTGGCGCCATCTTTCTTTTAGGACTTAAAAAGTAGCATGAGAAGGAAGAACTGAGGGCCAGAAGTTCTTCTCTGACCTCCAAACACACGTGCACACTCACATGTGCACATACACAGAACGTGTGTGTCCATGCACTCTAAATAAATGTACTATTTTTAATTGTCCACAAGGAGTTGGACAGTTGCACTGGGTGCTTTTGCAGAGGACTGGGTTTAGTTCCCAGCACTCATCATGGTGTGGCCATAATAATCTATAACTCCAGGGTATCTGCGGCCTTTTTCTGACCTCCAAAGGCACTAGGCATACATGTGGTGCACACACATACATGCTGCAAAACATTCATATATGCATAAAATAAAATAAATAAATCCAAAAGAAAACAACTAAAAAACTACAGAAAACATTGTGACACTTACAGCAGACAAACTTGGCCAGTCTTACACGCGCATGCCTTCTCATTTTGCAGGTTAATCAGATCGTTGCTTGTTAGAATTGTCCTGGTTAGGCTCAGCTACCAACTTGACACAGCCTAGAGTTAATATGAGAGAGTTTCAACTGAGGGGTTTCTTAAATCCGATGCGGTTACGGCCATGCTTGTGAAAGGTTGTTTGGCTGATGGCTGTTGGGGAGGGCAC